TTACACATGAGCTTTTGGGTGTTGGAAGGGGGCTACTTTGTATTGAGGTACCTCACATCCAAAGCATAACACTGCACAAGAGCAAATCTGGTGTTGGAAGGGGGCTACTTTGTATTGAGGCACCAGGGAAGGGCTCTCTGGGGAAAAAATAATGAATGAATACTGAGAACTGACAGGTGAATAAATGCTGGAAGTGAGGGGTGAGCACCTTTCATGCAGAGGGAAGGGCATGAGAACAGGCTAGGACAAGGAAGAGCCCCAGGCATTTTCAAGAAAATAAGAAAGAAGGAAAAAGGCCAGGGTGGCTGGAATGCAGAATGATAAAAGAATAACTCAGGGTAGGCTACAAGCTGGCTAGCATCTGTGCACTGCAGAGTCCTACAAATAAGATCTCAGGGCTTGGAGATTCACTTCAGGGCTTTTCCTTTTTAAACAACAATAAACATTTATTGTTTCTGAGGGTCAGGAATTTGGGAGTGACTTAGCTGGGTAAAATTGTGGTTCAGGAGCTCTCATGAGATTGTAGTCCAGCTGTAGGCTGGGGCAGCAGTCATCTGAAGGCTAGACTGGGGCTGGAGGTCTCACTTCCAGTGCAGGTCACAATGGCTGGCACATTGACGTTGGCTGTTGGATAGAAGCCTCGGTTTCTTCCCATGTAAACTCTCTGTAAGGTTCCTTGAATGTCTTCACAATATGGTGAATGGAAACTTTTGCTTTTCCTTTTAGTCTTTCCTCTTTGTTTCTTTCTATTGATATTATTTTTGTTTCCTTTTTCCAATTTTTTGTCATAATAAAATACACCTGATAAAATTCACCATATTAGTTATTTTAAGTGACGGTTCAGTAGTATTAAGTACATTTATATTGCTATGCAGCCATCAGCAACATCCAACTCTAGAAACTTTTCGTCTTGCAAAACCTATTAAAAAATAACTCCTTATTTTCACCATTATTCCCTGGCGACAAACATTCTACTTTCTGTTGTGAACTTTAGTACTCTATCTGGATAAGTGAAAATTCACACAGTAATTTGTTTTTTTTGTAACTGGTTTATTTTCCTTGGCATAGTGTCCTCAGGGTTCATCCATGTTGTAGTGTGTGTCAGAATTTCCTTTTGTTTTAAGACTGAAAAATGTTCTACTTTGCATATATACCACAGTTTACTTTGTTGGACAGTTGTGTTACTTCTATATTATGGCTATTGTGAATAATTCAGCTATGAACATGGGTGTATAAATATTTCTTTGAGTACCTGCTTTCATTTCTTTTGAGTACATACCCAAAAGCAGAATTCATGGGTCATATGGCCATTCTATGTTTATTTTTTTTCTCCCTCCATCCCCAGTACTGGAGTTAGAACCCAGGGCTCCACACAAGCTAGGCAAGTACTCTACTACTGAGCTACAGTACCCAGGCCTTTTTGAATTGTTGTTTTGAGACAAAGTTTTGCTGAGTTTCCCAGGCTGGGATTGTAATCCTCCTGCCTCAGCTTCTCTGGTAGCTGGGGATTATAGGCATGTGCCATCATGTCAAGCTTCTATGTTTAAATTTTTGAGGAATATTCTTTTTCATAGCAACTGTACATTTTATTTTTTCACCACAGTGCACAAGGGTTCCAATTTCTTGACTTTCCTGCCAATTATTGTTGGTTTTTGTTTGTTTGTTTTTAAAAACAGTCCTCCTAATGGGTGTGAGGTGATTTAAATTTGCTGCTGCAGTCTGGCTGGGCACAAAATCACGAGCCACTCAAGCAGGAACAAACTTTTTTTTTTAAACTGCCGCCAATGCTCCAGATGGACGCTGGGGGGGGGGGGGGGGGAACTGCCGACAGACACACGTGGAGTTCTCCCGGACCCCAAAAGGAAGTCCCTCCTCCGGAATTCCCTCCTACCGCACTTCCCCAACCAATGGGAACTCTCCAGGAGTCCCTTAGCAGGCAGAGGTGGACAGCATGGGTCTAATATCCATAAGAATGCAAATCTTAACATAATCATATCATCTCAATGGCTTGCTGGTGTCACCTTTCAACCAAAAATGCCATGCATCATACTACTTGGCTATGGCTCTTAGCAATTTGCATTTCCCTAATATTTACTGATATTAAGCATTTTATTAGACATTCGTATATCTTCCTTGAAGAAATAGCTAGTCAACTTCTTTGCCTATTTTTTAATTGGATGAGTTTTTGTTGATGGTGAATTTTAAGAGTTTTTTATATATTCTGGATATTAATCCTTTATCATATACATAATGTATAAATATATTCTCTCATTTGTGGGATGACCTAGTTGATAGTGAGATTTTGTTGTTGTTTTGTTTGTTGTAGTGCAGGAGATGGAATCCAGGGCCTCGTGTACGCAAGGCAAGCACTCTCCCACTGAGCTACGTCCACAGCCCCCGTTGATAGTATTTTCGATACACAAAACTCAAATTTTTTTGTGAAGTCCAATTTGTCTAATTTTCCTTTTCTGCCTTTGGTGTCATATTCAAATCAAGCCCAATATTGCATGGTTTTGCCCTGCGTTTTCTTCTAAGAGATTTGTAGTTTTAGCTTTTATGTTGAGGTCTCTTATTCATTTTGAATTATTATTTGATATTTGTTTATGGTGTAAAATAATGCTCCAACTTCATTCTTGTGCCTGTGGATATCCACTCTCCTAATACCATTTGTTAAATGCTATGTCACTTTTTACTCAAGACCATGATAGTCTTACTTACATGACAACAGTTAAGATCTTTCATCCACATCTCTGTGTTGACCAGAAGCTACACAAATGCACACACACTTCCCATGATGTAATCTCTACTACTTCATACTACTTAGGAATTTCAAGTAGGAACATTATGTGCTTCCTTTTATATATTTAAGGATCTCTCTGGAAAATGCACTGGATAGGTGCAATAGCAGATATGCAGGGTCCTGTTAAGGGTCTATTAGAGTAAGTCAGTTGAAAGATAGCTCTTGGGACTCTAAAAAGACAAAATTGGACAGAATCGAGCAGCATTTAGCATGTTTCATCTTTGCATAGATTAATCATGAGAAGGGCAGTAAGGAAGAAGCAAGAAGTCATCAATGACTGACAGTTTTCTGACTTGCACAGAATTTTACCATAATTACCATAATTTACAATTGGTAAATTATGGTGCCACATGACTGAAATGAGGGCCACTGAAAGGGGAACAGGTTGGAGGGGAGGTCTCCTGAGTGTGGTCTTGTACATAGTAAGCTTTGCTCTGTTTTGAATAAGATTTGTCCCCCATAACTTCATGTGCTAGAAGTTGCCCTGGTGTGGCAGTGATTAGGTATCTATAGGGTCCAACTTCAAGGTAATTGAGTCACAGAAGCATTTCTATCCAAAAGGACCAATGTGGTTCTTGCAGGGCCCAGATTAGCTCCTGTTAAACCAGATTGTTATAATTAGAAACAGACTGGATCTTCCCCCAGTCTTCAGTTTCCTGATTTGCCTATGATTGGTACCACTAGCAAGCACTCCCACTATGGTGCCATCTACCATGATGTAATGCAGCCGGAGGGGCCATAAAAAAAAAGCTAGTGCCATGGTATTCGGACTTTCAACCTTCAAAGCTACAAGCTAAAATAAACCACTTTTCTTTTATTAAGTATCTAGCTTCAGGCACTTTTCTATAAAAGCAACAGAAATTTGGCTTAAACAAACTTGAAGAGTCTATGAGACATGCAAGTAGAGATGACAAGTAGGCAGCAGAAACTCTGGGGAGGGAGGGACTGTATCTAGACAGGATAGGTTGTTTACAAATAAATGATGGCTGGTGGTGTGGTCAATGAGGTCACCAAGGGACAGAGTAGAGTGAAAGGGAAAGGGATTGAAGACAAAAACCAGAAGAACTTTGCCACTGTGAATCAATGGCCAAACAAGAAAGAGGAAAGCCGGGAGCCTGTGGAGCTCAGGAAATCAAGGGAAGAGACGAAGCAAGGAAGCAGGTGGTAGAGCCAGATGCTCTGAAAACCCAGCACAAGGAGGACAGGAAATTCTAGACACAAGCACAGTCATCAGTGACCAAAGTCATAGCTGTGGACAGACAGGGAAGAACAGTGGAGCAAGTGGAGGAAAGAATAAAGAGGGAAAGAACGTCCATGGGCAAAAAACTCACCAGAAGAGTTTAGTTGGAGGAGAAAGCAGGTGAGAACATAATCAGGAGAGTCAAAGTTCTTCAAATGCTGACTCTGTGTCTGCACCAGGACATAATCCCATGTTTCTCACATAGCCATGAGCAAGGTCAGGGTGACAGTCCCACTTCTGTTCTCCCTCTGTTCCCTTGAGTCTAGAGCACTCTGTGCCCTCCAGTCTAACACCACATTGCATACAGCTCCATGACACCTGGCAAAGTTTCTTTACCCAATCAATAAGTGCTCTGGTTCATGTTTATATCCTGACAAACATCTGCAGTTGTATCCATTGTCTCTGGCCCCTTCACTATCAGGTTCTATCATTAGTCAACCATGGGAACATCTCTTCAGTGCCTTTGAACTTAATTCTAAGCACTCTTTCCTTTGTGTAAAAATACATGTCAGTCAAATATGTCAGCCACTTCAAACACACAAAACCATTGCATCAAACCAAGTATGTATTAGTGCATGTGAGCAACAGTGGTTCACAATCAGGACCATCTCCATCAAATAACCAGGCCTGCCACAATTGGTTGTGTAAGTGTGTACACAGGTGTATATACATGTTTGCACTCATGTACATGTTCATGAGTGCAGTGTGTGGGATGTGTGCATGTTTGCTGTATACATGGAAATGCACTGTGTATATATGTGAGTGTATATGACTATGCACATGTATGCTGCCTTCATACATGTAGGTTTTGTGAGTTTGTGTGTGCACATGTGCCATGTGTGAGTGGGCATGCTCTGTGTGTGTGTTTGATCATACACAGGTGGGGTGGTCAGGATGCTTGATATAGGACAAGGGTCAGCCTTAATACCTTTTTCCAACTCTGCTTGCTGTGAACTGCAGCCCCTTGGAAGTCTAGCCCCTCCAGTGGATACTAAAGCCACAGAGAAGGAGAAGAAGCCACCAACAGCTACCACCAAGGGGAGAGGAAAAGGAAAAGGCAAGAAGAAAGGGAAAGCAAAAGAGGAAGTAGAGGAAGAAACTGACCCCCGGAAGATCGAGCTGCTGAACTGGGTTTGTGGAAAGTCCTTGCTCTTGATTTTTGGGATCCAGGAGACTGGAGTTGGCATCACCTTACTTCTCCAGTGGTAGGGACAGTTCTTGTCACCTTTGTTTTAGTCCTGTGAGGGCCCGGAGTCCCAGGAGGCAGAGGGAAATGATTGATGGGAATATGTCAATATTTCAACAGAAATGACATGCTCACTGTGATGCAGATGTCAGCTGTCAAAGACACCACACATTTCTGCTTTGGGAAGAAAATGCCACTAGGAGAAGTGGTCCTGGTCATCTTGCTTAATAGTGGCTCTCTCTGCCTAGCAGATATGCAGATGCTTGATGCAAGGAAAACAAGCCAATTATTACCACATAATCCCAATTCACACAGTAAATCCTTCTTGAAAGATAGAGCCTGTGATGGGTATGTGAAGGTAACTGTAGCTGTCTGAGCTGGAAGGCTAGAGCCACATGTGCATGGTGGTTCTCCAACTTGCTGCTGCCAGGACACAGTCGAAACAGGGCCTCTGCAGGGGCATGTCCTTGCCATTGTCATGGTCCTGTGGCTGCCACGAGAGTATATCTCAGTAAAGAAATAGATGAGAGAAATTGAACAGAGCGACACCAAAATGGTGTTGAATTTTCGAATCTCTTCAGTTCATTTTGAAAGGGAGAGAATCCTTTGTAGGCTTTGATAGAACACATAGGAGTCAAAGTGAGAAGAAAGGAGAGGAGATGAGGCCGGTTTACTCAAGTCAAAGAGCATGGAGAACTAGGGGCTAGGAACATAAGCACATTGATAGGGCAATTGTGTAGCATGTGTGGAGCTCTGGGGTTCTATCCCCAGCACCACAAAAAAGAGAGACGGGTAGAAAGGGGTTGGGAAAGAGGGAGAGAAACACAGAACCACATTCTGAATACTCCAAAATCTTGAGGTTTCAAATACTCTTTCCATGATGTTTCCAATTGTTCTGCCTAGTATCTCTCTGAGAGGCCATTCATGAGCTCTCCTTTCTGGATTCATACAGGTGAATGCTCTAGAGCAAGCAATGCTGGACGCTTTAGTCTTAGATCGAGTTGACTTTGTCAAGCTCCTGATTGAAAATGGAGTGAACATGCAACACTTTCTTACCATTCCGAGGCTGGAGGAGCTCTATAACACAGTGAGTGTTCTAGAAAAGGGGGTCAGAAAAGAGCTAGCCCTATGAATATTTTTATCACTGGCGCATAATATGCATAAATGTGTTCACATTCTTATCAACTAATGCTATGCCTAGCCAGACACTCTTCTGGAGTGGTGAAGATGCTCCTTGACTTGCAATGGATTTATGTGCCTATAAACACATCATGTTAAAAATATTATAAGTATAACATGCATTTAATGTAGCCATCCTACCAAATATCATAGTTTAGCAACATCGAATGCTAAAGAGTCTTGGTTGTTTCCCTGTGGTCATGGGGCTGTCTGGGAACTGTGGCTCACTTTCACTACCCGGTATGGAGAGTAGAATAGACTGCACATGACTAACTTGAAGAAAAGATCAAACTTCTAATTTCAGTTTCCACTGAATGCACCTGTACCACTTTCATTCTATTGTGAAGTCTCACAATTGATGACAAACTATCTAAGTCAGGAATTCTCTGTATGAACTCTTATTCATACTCAGGAGATGAAAGAATCTAGCTTCCTAAAGTCATTAGCAGTCTGATAAGCTACCAGGGGTCATTAATCACTCTTCCCTTGGGACCTTCACATTTTTATCAGGCTTTGGTGGAAAATGTACAACTAAGTTTTCATACAAGGAGCTCTGCTGCATTAGAATGGAAGTGTTTGAATGAAATCTCCTTGGTTTTGTGTATATTGCAAGTTTTGAGAATATATATTCTTCCCCATTTTAAGATTTTAAGTGGCAGAAATAGTCCTCAGCAGCTTCTTGCTAAAACTTAGTGAAACTTTAATGCTATATTGTGCACTGTAATATACTCTTTAAAGTAATTCAACAAAAAGTATCTTAAATACCTTTGAAGGTGACAGATACTTCCTAACCAAAATCAGTTCTATCTCCTAAAACAAATAGTCTGATAATGGGTTATACTCCAACTCTCGCAGGTCATTAATTCTATACAGTAGAGCAGAATTTTGTTCTAAGAATGAAAGAAAAACTTGCTTAATATGGCTAAATGCTTCTCTTTCAGAGACTGGGTCCACCAAACACACTTCATCTTCTGGTGAGGGATGTAAAAAAGGTCAGTCCATCCACTGTTTTATAATTCTTACCTATAGTCATCTTTCACTAAAACAAATTTCTTAAAAGTGGGTTTTTAAATTTCCAAAATGTATTAGCTCCTTGTTATTGGATGCACGGGACATAACAAATATTTTCATAAAGAGTTTACCTTAAAACTAAAAGAGAAAAGGACAAGCTTTTTCTAAGTTGATTGTGCATCCCCACATGATAGGAATGTGCTAGATGTCTGCTTGACTATGGATGGTGCCATGGCCAAACCAGGGGCAGCAGCCAGCAAGGACCCTGCCTCCCCTCCCCTGAGCACCACCATCCCCAGGGCAGCCTTATATACCTACTTTGGGATCTCTCGCTGCTCGTTAACTGTGCCTCTTTCCATAAGTACCAACAGGGGGTCCTCATTAATTCTGTGTGTCCTGTAGATTGCAGCAGATGTCTTCGGGCCTTTCTGTTCCCTTGTTGTTAAGCTATAGCTGCTCTTCTCACTTTCTACCGTTTCTGACTACTTGCAGTCTGTGTTCTTATACAACATACCTCTCTTGGTATTCTAGTGTGGTATTTCTTGTGCCCTGTTGCCATAGGTTAGAGGATTCGATTAGGTTCAAAGGAGAATGATTCGTTTTGTTAAAATGCCTGGCACGCAGAGTTTGTAATATGTACTTGTTTTCTGAGCAATAGAAAATAACTGAAATCAAAGAATAGGGTTTTCAGCCAGAGTCCTAGATAGTTTTCCCAGATTTAATACAAATATTTGGTTCCAATAATATATGAGAATGTGACTTCTGCAGAGATTCATGAAGGAAAACAGAATCAGTGGATCTGGGAACTAAGAGGGAACTCCAAAATCCTCTGACTTACAGCCCTATTTTCCACATAAGGATTCTGATTTTTTCCCCATAGAACCCAGCTGGAAGAATGATTAGGAAGGTCAAACTTTCAAAAGTGATAGTTACCCTGGTTCAGGCCCAACAATTTCCCACCTGAACGGCTTCAGTAATCTCCTTCTATCCTCTACATCCAGCTTAAAGTCGTCTGAAGTTTCTCAATGGGCCACAACATGAAACTCAAGCTCCTTCCAAGGAACATGCACCCCACTGGGCCTGGCACATGTCCACATCCCCTAATCTAACCTATCACATCCCTACCATACTATATACTAACCCCACCTAACTCTCTAGCATCCGAGGAGTCTCTGTTCTGTCCTGCACCACACTGTGCTCACCTCTGCAGCATTCTTCTACCTTCTCACCCGTTGTCCCTGCTCCATCTGCTCCAAACTGCCTTAGAAGTTCTTCCTGGAAGGCTTACTCACCCTTCCAATGCCCACCCAAGCAGACTCCAGCCACTCCTGTGCATCGCATATTCTACTGCATTGGGGCTGTTGACAGTTTTGCTACACAACACCTGGCTCCCTAGAGTTCTCATCACTAATAAGAAATGTGGTCAAGGATCACAATAGGTGGGGAACAAATTTGTAATGCATGAGTGAATTCTTTAGTTAATGTGGCCTGTCCTGTTTTAAAGGAAGTATGTTTGGAATGAGTAATGGTCACGTGATGGATCCCAAGATACCACCGTCATTTCAACTATATGAAATTAACCCATCAATAAATGGCACAGAGCAAAAATTCCTATACATTTGGTCAGCTCTGCTCCCTGGATAAATTAACCAGCCCAGGATGTGAATGAGTGACCATGAGTACCTGGGGCACCTCTGTTCTCTCTATTCCTCTTCTCTCCCACTGACTCTGTCTTAACAGACTCTTCCCCTTCACCACTCCCAGACACACCAGGTGGTATGTGGTGTTTGTATTATTACTAAAGAGCTGGGAAGGTGGTTCCCCTAGAATTAGATTGGACACCATGAAGGCTTTCACAAGAAAATTCCAGTCCCTGGGAAAATTCTGACCTCTCATGGCCTCCCATGAAGTCTTTCTCCTTTGCATAAAACCTGGCCCCTGCCCCATGAGGCTGGGCTCTTCTCTACAAGCAGCTACTGAAGCACCTGCTCATCTAAACTCCTCTGGTGTATGCCAGCTTCACCATACCATTTCCTTACATTTACACATGAGAACTGCAAACTGACATGTTGGGCCACAATCTTGCCCAATCATTAACCCTATAGTGGTATAGATTTCTAACCCTTTCTTCCTGTTAGAAAAGCTTAACTTCATTTTCTGGAATCTGGTTTAAACCAATATCTCCCTCAATCACATGAACAGAGATTGAATATTGTGTAACCACTCATCTATGACATGACATGACATGAACTCCCAAGTGGAGATGGCCACTTATGCCAATATGTGAGATGATGTCTATACTGTGAATGCATGTTTTATAGGAACTGAGACAAAAAAATTTTTTTTTCTTTTTTAAAACAGAGCAACCTTCCACCTGATTACCACATCAGCCTCATAGACATAGGGCTTGTGCTGGAGTACCTCATGGGAGGAGCCTACCGCTGCAACTACACTCGGAAAAGTTTTCGGACCCTATACAACAACTTGTTTGGACCAAAGAGGGTACAGCTCAGTGGCTGTGCAGTGTTTTGTGTTTCCCAAAGTGACATATGGTTCCTTGCTGTGCTTTCCAACAACTCAGACTATTCAAAGCCAAATCTTTGCACCATCTTCCAACACAAATGTCCAGCCTCCTGCAGTGACTGCCCCATGTGAGGCCTCTCCAACCTCATGGATGGCCAGCTTCATGCACCGTCCTCCTCCCTAACCCACCCCTTAGCATGTCAGCAGCACAGCAAATCAATTGCATCTACCCTCCTTTGTCCACAGTAACCTTCCTCCTGAGAAGACAGCTACCGTCTCTCCTGCCTCCAATCCATCCGACCACCCTTCCACTGTAGCAACCATCATCTTCCAAAGCAAGGGACACAACAGCACACTCCCTGCCCAGATCCACTCAGGGTTCCCTGCTGCCTGAACAACCATGGCCAAACTCATTATCACAGCATCCAGGACTCTCTGCCTGCTGTCCCCACCCTGTCACGGTAGACTATATTTCTCCAACAAAATTGAACTTTATTCCTGTGCTTGCCATGGCTCATCCCCCCTGATTGTACCTTTCAAAATCTGCCTCTCACCAAAAGCCCAAGTCTAAAGTCAGATCTTTCACAAAGTCTTCCCTTCACCCCCAACTCCATAGCTCCGTGTCTGGATTTTTGTTAGGACACTTCTCTGGTTCCACCTGCAATAAAGATAGGACACGTCTGCTTATCTTGCTCCTCAACTGACTTCTGCTGACAGAAGCAGTTTCCCTATGACAGCATTCCTTTTCTTTGGATATTGTCATTATTTAGTAAAGATACAAAGCATTTTAATCTATTACTGTCCACTATTAACAATACTACTAATGTAGCATATACATTGCTACTATCTACAGTTATCTCAGTAATATAATATATATATTTTTTTCTTTCATTATGCAGCCTAAAGCTCTTAAACTTTTGGGAATGGAAGTAAGTAGACTGTTTTCAATGGTTCTATGATATTTTGATCAAATATAGATAAACTTTTTAGTTTTGTATTTGCTTAAGTTTGTTTTTTCATGACTAAATCTACTACACAATTCGTCAAAATCTCCTTAGATCACTTGGTTCAATTTTATTATATACATATTATATTATATTATATCATTATTATATATAAAAGGATCATATACATTTTTTGAAAAGGTTAAAACTACCCAGTTCATTTTCTGAATTCACACAACCAGTTTTCAAAGCAAACAAAGATTAAGCAAATGCTAAAAATCAGTCTCAGCTGTGAATACAGAATTAAGACCTTCTATATTGAATCCATACAGGATTGAGATGCTACTTAACTCATGAGTTTATTTGAGGAGAATCTTTGCAATAGCTGGCCTTAATATTCTGCTTTGTGGAATTTCTTCCATTCACTTAAATATTTTGATGTCTGGTGCTTTGTTTTTAAAGTGGCTTATAAAGGCATTTCTACTGCTTTTGTCCTATCTTGAGGGAATTTTAGCAGACTTCTCTGGATTTTCTAGATATAAAATAATACTTTTTCTTGATTAACCATTTTGTCCCTTCTTTTGGGTACTCTCTCTTTAACATTAATTTGTTCATATGGTAGAATTTTCAGAACACTTTTGAAAATTAATGGGGATAATAAAAGGCAACCTTGTCTTATTCTTGATATTCATAGAAATGACTTCAGGGCTTCGCTCCTTAGTCATGTTTTTTTCTTACTATAAGTCTCATATGTATTTTTATCATATCAAGAAAGTATTTTGCTATATATTTTATTCATTGTTTTCTTTCCAGTGAGCTAATTTTTTTAAATTAAGAAATATTTTACATTTTTCCAAATTCCTTTTTAGGATCTAATGACAAGGACAAGTGCTAGGGCATGATATTGGTCAAATTATATCGTTATATTGTGTGCATTAACAAATATGAAACAATAAATTACATTATGATATACATAATAACACAACAATAAAAAAATGCAGAGAAAAATAAAGGATCTAGTGACATATAAACATGTCATATCTTTTCCCCCCTTTGATTTATTGATATGATACAATCTATGAAGGACCTAGCAATATTAAATTCCATTTGCATTCTTGGACATTTTTAATTACTTTTTGAGGACTTTAAAATATTCAATTGAATTTATTTTGTTATTATTCATGATTCTAAAATTTTATGCAAGTGGCATCATTTTCTAGTATTTTTATTTTTGTTGTTGTCAGTTAATTGTAAATGAGTCCATTCATACTTTTTTATTTTCTTGAGTTAACTGTGGTAATTTATATTTTCCTAAAAATAATTATTTTCTCTAGACTTTCAAGTTCATTGGTATTAACTTTTACTTAGTAGTCTAGTCTTTTTCAATCTTCTCAATATTTATAGATGTCTGACATTTCTCCTGATTTAAAAAAAAAATTATCTTTTTTTTTTTCCCTTAATCAAAGTTGCCTAATTATCTTCTTGGTATCTTTGCCTTATCAAGCAACTTTTTTTTCTGTTTCTATTTTGTTAATGTCTGCTTTTATTTTTATTCATTCCTACCATGAACTTTCTTTAGAGTTACTGTGTTGCTTTTATTGATTCAGTCTGAAAGTCAAGTCACTTATTGCTACTCTTCCCTGTATTCCAATAAATGCATCAAAGGTATAAATTTTTCCCTGGGCATTGTTTTCATGGTATCCCACAGGTATGGGTGAGTATGGGCGGCAACCTTCATTGGCATTTACTTCTAAAGAGCTTATAATTTTCTCTGCAATTCAAGAGTTATTTAAAAGTTTAAATTTTCCAGATACTGACTATTGTCAATATCCTTCTATGGTTGATTTCTAATTTTATTCCTTACATGTAGACCTCAACATCACCAAAAAAAACAAACAAAAAAAATAACAATAATGCCTGGTTGATTTTTATGAAACTCTGTGGGTACAGCTTTTATATTAATCCATCAAATCAAACTTGGTAATTCTGCTGTTGGATTTGCTTTTATATTTACAATTGTTTTTCAAACTCATTTCTAAGTGAGATGTGTTTAAAGATTCTTACCAAGATTATAGATGCATTAATTTCTCCTTATACTTCCAGTTCATGTCTTTTGTTATTTTATTGGGTTATTATTATTTTCCTTATTAATTTGTGTCAGGCCTTTGCATTTTAGGAAAATTACTCCTTGTTTGTTATATCCTCTTTCTGGCAATAATTTCAAGAAAATTAGTATACGATTAATATTTTGATAAAATGTGTGCTATTTTGAAAAGTAGATTTATAGGACTCTGTTTCAAAACTTTTGTTAGCCATTAGTTGATTTTCATTTTATCTATTCTTGAAAATCAAACTGTTTTTAAATTTCTATCATGCCAATTTTTAATCTATATAGACTAACCTTCCCTAAATTATTGTAACTGTATTTTACTTTGACAAAATCAGAAAATTATAACAAAAACATTGAAATCTGAGGCAAGATGCTGTAACTCATAAGGACTCTGTCATTGGTGAACAGCTTGTGATAGGAATTAAGAACCACATTCCCCAGGGTCCCCCAAGGCTCCATCCCATTCCAGTTGTGTGAATGTAGAGAAATTATTCAGACTTTGAGCCACAATTTTATCCTCTGAAGGAATGGAAGGAATTCATAACCTTTCAGAGTCGTCGTAAGAATAAAAGCACATAATTGGGTTGGGGATGTAACTGGGTGGTAGAGTGCTTGCTTAGCCTGTATCTGGGGGTGGATTGGATCCTCAACACCACTGAAAAGACAAACAAAAAACAATAATAATAATAATTGATTGGAAAGCCATGTACAAAATAGCAAATACAATCATCCCTCAGTATCTGTAGGGGACTTGTTCCAGAATTCTTTGAGTATATCAAATCTGCAAATGCTCAAGTCCCTTACACATAATGGTGTGGAATTTCCATAGGATCTGCACATATCCTCTCCGAATATTTTATATCATCTCTAGATGACTTACAATACCTAATACAATGTAAATGTTGTGTAAATAGTTGTTATACATTATTATTTAGGAAGTAAGGACAAGAAACAACAAAGTCTATACATGTTCAGTATAGATGCACTCTTTTCCCCAAATATTTTCAGTCCAAGATTGGTTAAATACAAACATGCAGACCTTGGGGGTATTGTATCTGTTTCTGTCATTCCACTGAGTACTAAGTCTTAACCTGAAATGGCTGAAACTTCAGACTTCCAAGCAGTTAGTTCCCCCCAAACCTGAACTGCCTTTCTTACAGAGCTTGCTTGCTCCACTTTCAGAAACATTCTCCTAATCCCTTTAGGAAATGGAATGTTGGCCTTTTGTTTGCACCACATGGGGGAAAGGACAGTGCTCATTCAAAATGGAATGTTTGCTTTCTTAAAACATTGGAGCGAAACCTAAAACATTTGCCTCTGTCCCTTTTTTACATTTTTATATTAATTTCTGATTCAGCTATGTCTGCAAATGAATGTTAATGTTTTGCTGCATTGCATGACTTCCCTGAAAAAATAAACTGTGGACTTTACCTGTTCCATGATGCTATTTACATTTCATTTTTGCTTGAGTTTTGCTGCATGGCCTCATTAAAGTCTTCTTAAAACCCTACTAACCCAAGGGTATAAGTTATGCAAACAGCAATGTTTCTTCTCAGCTTATTTGGTTTTAAATGGTTTACTTATAATAAATGTGTATCTTTTTTTAAAAAAAAATGAACATGCTGAGTGGATACTTGAGTTGTGCTGAAGGAGTCTCTTTATTACCTCTGACCTAAAGGGTTCCCTCTCTGCCGTAGTTCTGAACCCTTTATTGCCCATTTAGGAAGAACCATGAAAAAAACAATGTGTTTTTCCTCCCTTCAGGATGATGAGCCTCCAGCCAAAGGAAAGAAAAAGAAAAAGAAGAAAAAAGAGGAAGAGGTCGACATTGATGTGGACGACCCTGCCATGAGTCGATTCCAGTACCCCTTCCACGAGCTGATGGTGTGGGCTGTGCTGATGAAACGCCAGAAAATGGCAGTCTTCCTCTGGCAGCGAGGGGAAGAATGCATGGCGAAAGCCTTGGTGGCCTGCAAGCTCTACAAGGCCATGGCCCATGAGTCCTCCGAGAGCGAGCTAGTGGACGACATCTCCCAGGACTTGGACAACAATTCCAAGTTAGTGTCTAGAGGAAATTTCAGGGCCAGGAGAAACTGTTGTCCTGAACACTGTCCCTTTGCAGGGAGGGTGATCATTGTATTTTCTCACTTAAACATGTTTATAGTCAATGCTTGTCTGTAAACTGCTTTGTCCAACACATTAGTATTTTTCCTTCTATCTCTGGGGTATTTCTGTGCTGTCGCTGTTTTAGGTTATTACCTTCTCGTGAAAATTATTGAAACCCAATTAATGCAAAAACAGTGAAACAAATTTCCATGAAGAAACACACATTGACGGGGTGTACAATTTTAGTGCACCTGTGCCTTCAACTATGAATGTCACCAGAGTTTCTTAGCAAGAGGAGATATTAAAGAGGATTGGAATTGAGTATTGTTTATCTGCCATGTAGGTTAATTTCTAATAAAGCCCAGCAGGATTGGCTCTGTTGACTACTTACTCCTGAGGACCAGGGCAGAAGCATATCTCAAAATGGCTTCTTTTTCCCTCTCTGCGATGGAAACACTAGGAGATTTTTCTCCTGTATGTACTGTGAGAACCCAGTCAGTCTCCTGGATGTAAAACAGAAGTTTGCATTACTGGGTTTCCCTGGGGTTTTTAACTTCTGAACTTGTCCACACTGAGTTTCCAGCAATTCATCAGTTACAACTCATGGTGCACACCCCAGTTCTGGTTCCTACACATTTCTGCTCCAGTAAACAATGATTCTTGTACTTGCCTGTCTGTCCCTGCAGTTCTGGGTACAGCAGACTTCCCCATGACCTCTCTTCTCTGATGGAGCTGAAAAGAAATGTTGATTTTTCAGTTCATTCTGATTTTTCTTGTTAGGATAGACTAGCCACTTCCAAATTCCTTACACGCCAGACTGGAGATCTGAAGTCCCAGGACAACTGGGACTTTTTTATAGGCACAAAAATTTGGAACAGACACAGACAGCTCTGCCAACATCTAACATCTTTGTTTTCTGAAACCTGTGGCTTTCGTTTTGGATTTGGTGATTTCTAAACTTACTAGCCAATTCCTAAATATGAGGAATTCAAGACCATTTAAAAATGGGGACACATTCACCCCTTGCTTCCAGGGTAATGTGTAGGACTTGGGAGGTACTGCAGACAGCATTGTTCTTCAAGGAACAAGGAAGGCTGTTCCCCATCCATAATTCTGCTGTATTCATCCTTCAGCTCATAATTGCAATAAAATCCCCTATCAGATGGAAAAACAAAAACAGAGTGATCGCTGTGTGGCCATAGCTTTACCAAAGTCCACAACAGAAGTTCATAGAAATGAGCAAAGATTATGGCTATAATTAAATATTTAAATTAAGGCCCTGTGAGAAAGGGAATAAATTCTATGTTCCATATTTCAGTTTGTATCATCTTCTCCATGCCTCCTCAACTTCTATCATTGTCCTCTCATTAGCAGTTAGGGCTCTGTGAAAATTTTCCTTTGTTCTGAGTCCTATGAGAAATATGCTTTGTGTCTAACTGACAATGTTGAATTCTTTTTGTTGTGGTGGTGGTGCTGGGGATTGAGCCCAGGTCCTCATGCATGCTAGGCAAGCACTACACCACTGAGCTAATTTCCCAGTCCTGAATTCTCTTTAATTCACGCATTATTGAATCATTACACACACACACACACACACACACACACACACACACACACACACACATAAAATGTGTGGCTTGATAACTGTTCACACTAGCACCCAGAAACAGAACCTAACAGGCACCAGCAAGCTTCCTGGTGTCCCCTTCAATGTCCACCTTCCTCCCTATTCTTCACCCCCAAGAACAGCCTCTGTTCTGACTTCTAACCCCACAAGTCCTGTTTCTGAACTTGCCTTTACTGTCTGTTCTGTCTACTTCCCTAATCTGTGCACAACTTGAGGAAATAGACTTTGTCTCCTTGTCTTTGTGTCCTGGGGACCTGACGGGCAGTCTTGGAGTCAACCTAAAGCTCTATTTGCAGCAAGAGCAGTCATTCCCCATCCTGACTGAGCACAGAGCCCCTGGCCCTGGCTGTCCTCCTCTAAGGACAAATCTCAAGAGATCCTTGCTTTTAGAGGACAATGAAGTCCCTTCTAATTGTAGATTCTGTCTCCTGTGCCTCCCTGTGCTCTTGTGACCACATCTATCTAAGAAAAATCCTGTGGCCACTGCAGCTTCACACCCAATTCCATCTCTTTAACTCCAGAGACTTTGGCCAGCTTGCGGTGGAGTTGTTAGACCAGTCCTATAAGCATGATGAGCAGATCGCCATGAAACTGCTGACCTACGAGCTAAAAAACTGGAGCAATTCAACCTGCCTCAAACTGGCTGTGGCGGCCAAACACAGGGACTTTATCGCTCACACCTGCAGTCAGATGCTACTGACTGACATGTGGATGGGAAGGCTTCGAATGAGGAAAAACCCTGGCCTGAAGGTATGTGTGGCATGGCCATTAGACTGCCCAGATGACAGTGATTAAGTGACATCTGTTGAGCCCTGAGGCAGAGCTAAGCACCCTGTGAGTTATTTCATTTACAGTAGTCACACTGGTCCAATTTCACTTTGCTAGGTTTTAGTTACCTGAAATCACCCACATTCCAAAAATATTAAATGGAAGACTACAGAAATGAGTAATTCATAGTTGGGGGGAGGGGTATTGTTTTTTCAATGCCAGGGATTGAACCCAGGGCCTCACACATGCCAGGCAAATGCTCTACCACTGAACTTCATCCCCAGATCCTATTCATGAGTTTAAAATTACTCACTGTTCTGATTACTGTGATGAAATCTCTCATGATCCTACTGCATCCCACCCAGTATGGGAATCCTGCCTTTGTCCAGTGTATCCACGGCTGTAAACAAAATCGATAGTAGCTATCTTGGTTATCAGATCAACTGTCACAGCTTTGCAGTGCTTGCATTCCAGTAACCCTTATTTTACTTAATAATGGCTTTGAAGAGCAAGAATAGTGATGCAAAGGAGGCACCAGGGCATAAAACACAGAAGGACAGTTTAGGTCTGGTACTATATGGCAATACTCCAGGTCTTATAATCAAAACAGAATATAAAGGGTTCAGTACCATCTAGAGTTTCAGGCATCCACAGGGGGTCTTGAAACATATCCCTCAGGATAAGGAGAACTACTGTATACCTCTGAGTAACCCCATGAGAGATGATATGACAACCCTTGTCTTACAGATAAGGAACCTGAACCTTTAAGATTAGATAACTCTCCTAGATCTTAGTAGATCAACAAAGAAACTGAACCCATGTGGGCTAATGCCAGAGTCTCACCTAACCAACATAGCTGGCTTACAAATCTCCCTAACACAAGCAATGCCTTCAGCATTAGTCATGCACCCTAGATAGGTCATCTACCTGCCACTAAAGCAAGGACCTTAGCTTGACTTCTATAGAGTCCCTCAAACTCTAAAACTGTGTGCTGTTACTTTAACTGGTGACATTTTTATTATATGGGGCTTGTGAGAGAATACAAAGCTATGAAAGGTTTGAAAAGCATGCAGTGGGGAGAAAATCATATTGCAATTAAACCCTACTTGTGTGTTTACTACTCTTATACACTAGGTTATCTTGAGAAGAGACTAATCTTAGGGTATCCCCCAACTATCTAATGGTAATATTGTACCTATTTTATGAGATTGTTATGATAATAAGAGAAAAAAAACCAATACAGGTTGAATATCCTGTATTGGTTTTTTGTCTATACATAGTGAGATATCTTGGGGATGAGACCCAAGTCTAAATACAAACTTCATTTATGTTTCACACATACCTTATACATATAAGGCAATTTTATGCAATATTATTAGTACCCCTGCATTTTGACTGTGACATATCAGATGAAGTCTGGTGTGGAATTTGCCACTTTGTGACCAGCACTCAAAAAGTTTCAGATTTTGGAGCATTTCAGATTTTACGTTTTTTTGTTAGAGGTGCTCAACCTGTATGTTATACTTCGTAGCATGGCTCTGGCAAATGGAAGGTATTCAGTTTCTTAGAAATATGAATGTTGTGCCTAACTGTCCATTTATACACTAAGCTGATATTATACATAACTTTGAATATTTGTAAACAAGTAGTTTTTGGAATACTAAAAATAAAGAAATCCTACAGGTTTTAAAGAAACAGGTCACACACAAAGTTATGAATATCAGTTTGACATCACAATTTTCACCAATAACACTGATGGTGGCAGTGAAACAAGACCTTGACAGTTCTGATGGGGAAATGTTCAGCTGAATTTTCTTTTTTAAACATGGTCCAGCTATTTAAAACAGATAAAAGGGGCCATGGACTGTAATTCAGTGGTACTCACTTAGCATGCATGAGACCCTGGATTTAATTCCCAACACTGCAAAACTAAATTTTTAAAAATAAATAAAAAGATGAGAACAGAATATCTGTTTTAAAAAGGAAAAGATTCAAAGCTGGGGCTGTAGCTCAGTGGTAGAGCGCTTGCCTAGCATGTGTGAGGCACTGGTTTCAATCCTCAGCACCACATAAAAATAAACAAATAAAATAAAGGCATTGTCCATCTACAACTACAAAAATTTTAAAAAATAAAAAGGAAAAGATTCACATTCTATACTTTGTACATATCCATTCAGAAAATTACTTCAGCTGGTATTCTAGGGAAAAAAAGTTAAATATTTGTTATGGTTTAGATATGAGGTCCCTTAAAAGCTCATATGTGAGATGTGGGAGTTTAGGGATGAAATGATGGAGTTTGACAGCCTTAACCTAATTAATGCATTAATCCACTTGACTGGATTAGCTGGGTAGCGCTATAGACCAGTAGGGTGTGGCTGAAGGAGGTAGGTCACTGTGGGCATGGCTTTGGAATATACATTTTATACCTGGTGAGCACAGCTCTCCCTCTGCTTCTTGATGGCCATGTCCTGAGCTGCTTTTCTCCACCACTCTCTGCCATGATGTTCTGCCTCATCTCAGGCCCAAAGCAATGTAGCCAACTTTCTATGGACTGAGACCTCTGAAACTGTGAGGCGTCAAATAAAATTTTCCTCCTCCAAAATTGTTCTTTTCAGGATTTTTTGGTCACTTGAGCAGAAAAGCTGACTAAAACAATATTATAAGTAAAGAAAGTAATGTGAGGCTGGGGTGAAGTGGTGTGTGCCTGTAATCCCATCAGCTTGGGAGACTGAGGCAAGAGGATAGCAGGTTCAAAGCCAGACTCAGCAAAAGCGAAATGCTAAGCAACTCAGTAAGACCCTGTCTCTAAATAAAATACAAACTAGGGCTGGGAGTGTGAGCTCAGTGGCTGAGTGCCCCTGAGTTCAATCCCCAGTACCACTACCACCCCGACAAAAAGGAAAGAAAAGAAAGCAATGTGAAATGGAAGAAACAAGTCCCATATTTTACAAATTCCCATATTAAACCCATGCAGCAGAGAGAAAGGCAGTCAGAGTAAATAAATACAAAGTGTCAGTAGAACACAAGAAGAAAATATTCAAGAAAAATAGCCAGGCATGGTGGTGCACACCTGTAATCCCAGCAACTCAGGAGGCTGAATCAGGAGAACTGCAAGTTCAAGACCAGCCTCAGCATCTTAGGCCCTAAGCAACTTAGTGAAATCCTGTTTTAAAATAAAAATGAAAAAGGGCTTGGGATATAGCTCAGTGGTAAAGTGCTCCTGGGTTCAAGTCCCAGTACCCCACCTCCCCAAAAAAACCCACAAAAGAAGAATAGAATTGACCCCAATAAATAGATTGAATGATTAAAGAGCCACAAAGTATCAGGGATATAGGTTAAGGAAACAAAAACCCATTTATATTCTTAACAAGAAAATAGAAGGGGAGTCTAACTTTCAAGAAAAAATTTTAAAAAAATACATACAATGTAAAAGTTCTATATGATTCAAATTCAAATTTGGGATGATTTGAGCAATTGGTAGAGTGTAGAAACACATTGATATAAATGCCAATGAGTTTTCTATCTGTGGGCCAGAATATCCTCTTATTGTCCAGGCTGAGCTCAATTAAGTCTTATTCTTTGAGTCATGTTAGCCTCCCAACTTTGTTCACATATTCCCATTTATGTTGAAGTTATTTCTATATAAAATACTTATAGTCTACCTCACTAGTTATTAGTATATTTTATTTGTTTATAATATTTTATTTTAATTTAAAGATTTGCTTACCTTACTTGTTTGACGCAGTGCTGGGGATCAAACCCAGGGCCTCATGCATGCCAGGTAAACATTCCACCACTGAGCTACATCCCAGCTTGATTCACTTGCTCTGAAACTTAATATAAGAACTTTACTTTTTTAAAGTCAGGATTACGCATGATGCTGCTTACCATTTATCTAAATTTTAATGAATAGTCTTAAATTTTTCACTGTCTTTAATTCTACCAGTGTACAAAACACAACAAGACATACAACACCAGAGCAGAGATAAACATAATACAGAGATCTTAGGTTATTGACTAATGTTGAAAGTTATAACTTAAAAATTTTAACTATATGATCAGTCCTCCTTATCTTGCCTGAAAGATTTGCATCCATGAATCAAAACAACTCAGACTGAAAATATTTGAGAAAAAAAATTTGTCTTTATTGAACATACACAGAGTTTTTTCTTGTCATTTTCCCCTGTGAAATACAACATACCAACTATTTACATGACACTTTCATTGTATTAATTATTGCAAGCTATAAAGATGATGTAAGGTATAGGGGAGGAGGTGCATAGGTTTTATGCATACTACACCATTTGTTGTAAGGTATTTGAGCTCTCTGGGAGCAAACCCCCACGGAGTTTGAGGGACAACTGTACTAGAGAAATTTTTATAGAATTTCCAAAGCTTATAATAAATTCATTTCTCACCATTCATAGGTTATCATGGGAATTCTTTTTCCCCCCACCATCTTGTTTTTGGAATTTCGCACATATGATGATTTTTCATACCAAACATCCAAAGAAAATGAAGATGGCAAAGAAAAAGAAGATGAGAATATGGTCAGTGATACCTTGATCTTAAGAGTATCAATTAACTCTCATTTTAATGATTCTTGATATGTCTGCTACCATGGATTAGACATCGTACTAACTGGGGGGTGTTTTTAGATTCCTTCTTTTTAAGGGTGCTCATGTGCTATGGTTTGTTTCATTTCCCAATTAGCCACCATGCCTGCCACGTACTGTGCTCTGTTTTCCAGGATGCAAATGCAGACGCTGGCTCAAGAAAGGGGGACGAAGAGAATGCACACAAAAAGCAAAAAAGTATTCCCATTGGAACAAAGATCTGTGAATTCTATAACGCTCCCATTGTCAAGTTCTGGTTTTACACAGTAAGGCCACCTCCTTAGTATTTGCCATTTAGCCTGTTTTGAATATCAGGATAGGTTGGAAACAACAAAATCTTCAAAGGCTTAAAATTGTGTCTAAAAATTTACTGAACTGAAATTAATTCTTAAACAAAACCAGTACTAATTGAGAGCTTTAACTAAAATTGAATCCAGATACCCTGTCATATATTTTATATATATAGAAATATGACCAACCTTTCCCCAAAATATAACATTTCATAAAGCAAAATAGTCAAGCTGTGGATATGGCTCAGTGGTAGAGTGTTCAAATAGCATGTGTAACACCCTGGGTTTAAACCCCAGCACCATAGTAAATAAAGAAACAAACAAACAAACAAATAAACAAAACAAATTAGTCACATTCTATTTGCTTAAAATGATTTTTTTTAAATCTTTAGTAATAGAAACTTAGGGAAATATAATTTTTTCATTTTTCATCAAACAGGTGGGATTATTAGAAGGGTGTGGCTGAGCCCAGATCATAAACTCCTAGGATAGGGAAGCAAATCAAGACCTGTCTAAAGTGTTCACCAAACTGACCCACTTGGCAGCATCCTCTCTATTATCCAGGTTTCCACTGCTCTGAGTGTGGCTTTCTGGTAACAAGAGCAGAAGAGGAAGTGGGAGTAGAAGGAAGCACCAGTGAGTGAAACTGGCTATCTGCAGGCAGTCCCGCAGAGTTGACCAGACACACTGTGACTTGGGTACCCATATCAGTTTGAAGGAAGGACAGTATTTTTCATGAAATCCCAAGCACTGAGCCACAGTTCATGGCATGACAAGGTCATGAATGGGGCAATGGATAAAGATGGGCACGGGGCAGAGGAGAGAAGGGGGGTTGCCTTGGAAATCAACCATGGGTCTGGACAACCAGTCTCTTGGAAGCCCTATCTGAGGATGCAGCGGAAGCCAAGGCCACCCTCCTTTTCTGGTCAGAATCAGTTGAGAACCTGGGGTGTGTATAACCTAAAGTACTGCTCAGCACTGAGGGAGGGCAAGGCCAGGAGTCTGACAGGCTTTTCAACCTTAGGCCTCATATAGACAGTCTTGATGCTCTCTCTGGATGTAAGAGAGATGTACAGCTTCGGGAGAATTCTAACTAGCCAAAAGATTGAGAACTGTGGCTCTAATCCTCCTGTAAGGAGGAAATATTTGTCTTTGTCTATTTTATATTGCTGTAACAGAGCACTTGATACTGGGTAATTGTAAGGAAAAGAGATTGTTTTGGTTATAGCTCTAGAAGCCCAAGAGCATGGCACTGGCATGATGCTCCTTGGAGGAGGGTTTCGCAGTAGTTCAACTCATGATGTAAAGCCAAAGGGCAAGCAGCCATGTGCAATAGAAAGGGAAGGGCAAAGGAGCTGAACTGTTTTAAAACAACCCATTCTCACCAAAATAAATCCATTCCTGAAAGAAGTAACTCAGTCCCACTAGAGCAAGGACTCAGTCCTCCTGAGAAATGGCATTAATCTATTCATGAGGGCTCCTCATGGCCTAAAAACCTCTCAGTAGGCCCTACCACCTTTTGGGAATCATAGGTCAACATGAGTTTTAGCAGGAATCACATCCAGTGAACCACATCCCAATGAACACAGGGGATGTTACCTACATCCTGGTAAAACTTATTGAATCAGGAGGGACAGATCATGGGGGAAAGAATACTGTCAAATCACAAATACACAAATGCTACACTCTTCCTACAAGACCTCAGAAAGGTTTGTGACAGTGAAGAGCCCCAAAGCTGAAGTTTTCACAGATTGGTGGTGAACCAATCTGGGAAAATCAGTTTCAGATAAACTATTTCCACCCCATACCTTACTCCACATGCCTTGCCTCACCTTCACCTCCAACTCTACTTTTTTTCTTGCCAAAAAAAAAAAAAAAAAGAGAACCTGTGGTGGCCACCAAATATCACAGATTTGTTACTGGTAGCCAAGGGGACTCTTAGGTCAGTCAGCTCCATGGCCTAGGAAGATGATCTCTTCACGTCTTCCCTTATAACTTCTGTCTGTCAATAGTGGAGAGTTTCATGAAGGCAGATCAGTAGAGCAGAGGAGAAAGACCGGGGGATGAAGGAGGAGAAGGAAAGAGGAAATACTGGGGAATGATATTGGCCAAATTATATTGTTATATTGTGTTCATGTACAAATCTGTAACAATAAATCCCATCATTATGTACGACTACCCTGTACCAATAAAAATATGGGGAAAATAATGGAGAGATTCAAGAAGGAAATTCCTGAGGTACAGAGGAGTAAGTAACATTTTCCAATTTCTAAGAATATAGGAGGCACACCAGCAATCTATTCAAAGTTTCCCTGTGTGTCATAATTATTGCGACTTCATAATTTCCCCATGAGGATGACAGTACCAATAAATATACTGTCAGGTAGAAAATGAAATGTCATTGCCCATATCATGCTGAAGCATAAAATACCTCCAACCTATCTCAGCGTTCTCTATCTGCAATGGTGATGTGAAGAGGGGGTATCCTCTAAATAACTAAGTCCATTTAGAAATTGAAAATTCACTTTAGAAGATGTGCCATACTAAAAATTAGACTTTAAAACCCGATTCCAAGGTTCTCTCCTCAAACATTGCTAACAGCTTTTTCTTTCCTCCAGATTTCATACTTGGGCTATTTACTGCTGTTTAACTATGTCATCCTGGTGCGGATGGACGGCTGGCCCTCTCTCCAGGAGTGGATTGTCATCTCCTACATTGTGAGCCTGGCATTAGAGAAAATACGAGAGGTGATTACTCCAAAGACTTGCCTAAGTACTTGAGCTAAGTACTGGCTCCAATTTCAAGTTTTATTGCAAAAACATTTCATACAAATGATAAGTACCAGGACTCTTTTCTTTTGAGTGTCATCATCCCATATTTACCCCATTCGCTTCTTTTAAATGTGTACATCCTCTCTATTCAACTGAACTTGAACTTGTGAATAAAAACACAAGCTAAACTAAATCATATACAATAATAAAAACAGGTCTAATTGCATACAAAAGTAAAAGCAAATGTTTCCAGCTACTTGAGATAAACCGATCACTATACTGGGTACACATTTGGCTTCATTTTCTGTCACCTTAAATTTGAGACTTTGGATCACATTGTGTACTTGCATGGTGCAAGAATATATAAAAGCAAGGCCCTTAATGACAGGGAGCAAGAAAAACAGGCCAGAGGAGGGAAAGGAGTCAAGAGAACTGTGGTTTCCAGTAGAATCTGTCTCCAGCTTAATCCTGCAACGGATCTGAGTTGATTGGACACTGTAGAATCTGTTCTACCTTGAGAAAAGGGAGTGGAGCATTGTATGAACATCAGTCTAACTTTGGCACCCATCAGAGGAGCGATTACAATTGCCCAAGAACAAGCCTCCCATAAGGGGCAGGTATGGGCCTAATAACAGCACCTGTAGCAGATGGTATGATCACACCCACCTGGCAAAAAGCTCCAGGTGATCTTTCTTGGTAAGGCCCAGAGCATCTGTTACAGAGGGAATAAGACTTTCAACTAAGTGTTAAAATAGAACAGATACGGTCTTACACTTGGATCTTACATCTCAGAAGACTTAAAATTAAAATGAAATGCCAAGAAGCCAACTTCTGCAGGCAGCACAGGAAATGTGGGCCAGGTAATTTCTGATATCATCCACAGGTTTGAATTCACTATATTCATTTCAAAAGAGGAAGCTTGTATCCAAGCAAAACATGAACTTGAACTGAAAAATCACACAGCACAATTTCCTAACCTTTCCCCAAATAATACAGAACCAATACTATTATTTTGTGATTACTATTGACCCTTTTACTGAACTGTACAAATATGACACTTAACCTCATCCAGGCATAGTGAGTTTTATGTCACAGGTCTAATGAGAGCCTGAGAAAACAAAAGAGTGCTGAATCCAAGACTGTACAATCAGTTTTCTACAACTACTCTTTCTTTTTGTGCTTGCTACAACTGAGACTTCCCAAGTGGCCCACCTGAATGCCTCTGGTGCAATTGTACTCCTTCTGGGCATCAGCCCTGAATTAAGACATGTTATTCCAGAAGCCTGCCCCCCCCCCCAGTTACAGGAAAGAGAGGCATCCATCAGCCAGTGCCAAAGGATTGTTAGACTAGGGAATCACTTCTATGTTGGCAGATCAATAGTCATCACCCCATCCTATGCCTGAGACCCTGGAATCTACCCACAATCTGCAGAACTAAAGGGATACCCTGGCATGGCAGCCCTCCCGCCTACTGCAGCATCACTGCATGCCCATGCATACTGCTTGCTAAATATTTTCCATTTTACTCTGGGGAAGTCTCCTTTTAATCAGTGGTGATTTTGAAAGGATAATATCACAAGTAGGGGGAAACCTGGTTCAACTTTCCCCTGACTTGTCGTATTTAAGTTGCAACAGAATTTTGGCAAATCAACCATTTCCTAGCCTTATTCTGCCCATGTGGATCTCACCCCCCACCACCACCACACCACACCACTGTGTAACCACATAGGATTCATTCCTGCTCTAGACTTTTCCTCTTGTATAAGTCTGGAATGTGGGCCAACAGGCATGTGTCCAATAATTAGAAAAGAAATCAAAAGGCAGCTGCTTTAATTACAGCCAGAAGGAGATAATTTGGAAGGCATTTCCTGAGAGTTTATGAAACCCTGAATCTATGAATACAGAGGATTCCATGGAATTTCCCTTTCTAGATATCTGTCTGCCTGAGAAGATTAGTGTTCTGAGGTCTTGAGCAGAAAAGAGACCAGATGCCCTGGAATGTTCCACCAACCTTATCTTTCCAAGATTCTGAAAAAGACAAGGCCTCCAACAATGCACTCTTAGTTTATTGTTCTTTTCGGTTTGTTTTCAGATCCTCATGTCAGAACCAGGCAAACTTAGCCAGAAAATAAAAGTGTGGCTTCAGGAGTACTGGAACATCACTGATCTTGTGGCCATTTCCATGTTCATGATTGGAGCAATCCTTCGCCTCCAGAACCAGCCATACATGGGCTATGGTCGGGTCATCTACTGTGTGGACATCATCCTCTGGTATATCCGTGTCTTGGACATCTTTGGTGTCAACAAGTATCTGGGGCCCTACGTGATGATGATTGGAAAGATGGTTAGTAATGATTTCACATGAGTAACCAAGGATATTTTGGCTGTGGTTAGGATAAAAGACCAGGCCTTGGGTGTGGCTTTCTTCAGTTTCTTCTGGATTTTCCTTTGCAGCTGGTTTCTTATAGGAAATAACCTTTGCTTTGAAATACACAGTTCTCCTACATATTAATAACAATAAAATCTAGTGAAAAATGAGCTAAGGGCTTACTGTACTCACCTACATATATATGCATGCATCTCTCAATATATATCAAGCACTCAATGCATACATCTTTTTTCTTTCATATAACTACTTTCATTTTTTAAAAATTACTTCTGATTTATTATTAATAATTGCATTTTGACAGTAAAGATAAAAGAAAATATCTTCTTCTTTTATAAGAGTTTGCTTCACCTTACCAGGTGAAGAGAGCATCAGGTTTTAATGCAAACAGAATTCAGTAGCAAGATAGGTATCTCAAAATATTTACTCTACACCTTGATGACTGGAAACATTTTTAGCATTCTTTAGTACAGGAACATGGATTTGATAATTCTATGAGGTTGCATCTACTTAAGTGTTTTTATGGCAAAAAATATGATTGACAAACTCCTAATCTGTAGTAAAAGTTAGAAACAACAGGGACCCAGGGCTATTTCCTCACCTGTACTCCAGACCATCTCCAGCTCATGAGCAGCATGGAGTAGACACAGGTACTTTACGTGATTAGGCCAAGACAGATTTATTGTGAAATTTACTCTGAACAAGTCATAGAATATGAAACTAAACATGAACCAGGTGGTTATCATTACATTACCTAAAAAGCCTCAGTGTTAGCACTAGTGCCAGAAGATAGGAAGCCTTCTAAGTGTAGGAATAACTCTTTATAGGGGGAATGGCTTTTAGACAATTTCAGTAAGGGCCCTTATCCTCAGGGATGTTAAAAACTAGAATTTCATTTTATTTCATTTAACCATTTTAGCATCCACAGTAAACAGAGCATTGTTCATTATTGCGATTCATCATTTGTATGATGTATGAATAAATATTGGGGTACACTCTCAATTTATTTCTCAATTATCCTTTTGCCTACTTACGTATATGTCCCTTTTACTCCTTGTTTTCTCTCACAAACCCCCATCTTTTCTCAATTCTTCACATTTGCGGTTACTATAAGAATATCTGTTTACAGAAGTGTTAGTAACGAAATACAACCAATAAATTAAAGGAATTATTTTAGCTCATCATCTGACTATTCATTGGCCCAGGTGCTTTGAGTCTGGGGCAAAGCAGCACATAGTAGCATAAACACATGGTGAGACAATCCCAAATCACAAGCCAGGGGGCAAAAAAGAGAAAGGAAGGAGCCTGGGTCCCAATATCCCCTTCAAGGGAATGCCCCAATGACCTAACTTCCTCCCACTAGCCTCTACCCCCCCACCCCACCCCCACCCCAGCTCCTAAAAGCTCCACCATTTCCTAATAATGCCACACTGGGGACCAAGGTTTTATTTAACACATGAACCTTTGTGGGACATTCTAGATCCAAACTATATCTATGAGCAATAACAGAGGAGAGGTCAGATGGAATAGGAGCTGATAAAGATGTTAAAATTCTAGAGGAAGGTATGTATGTTGTGTGGGATAGAAAAAACAAGTAACCCATGGTTGGGAAGGAAAAAAAAGAAAGAGGCTTTTTCCATCCTAATTAAGTATTTGTTGAGTCTTTGGAGAGAGCAATGAACAAGTATGAACTTGGCCCATGAGTCAAGACAATAATGAATCATATATTCTCCTACTCAGATGATTGACATGCTCTACTTTGTGGTCATCATGCTGGTCGTGCTGATGAGTTTTGGAGTAGCCCGTCAAGCCATTTTGCATCCAGAAGAGAAACCTTCTTGGAAACTGGCCCGAAACATCTTCTACATGCCCTACTGGATGATCTATGGAGAGGTGTTTGCAGACCAGATAGACCGTAAGAATAGAATTCATAGTAAGATTCTCTTCCCTGCTTCTGAGGCAGATGATCAGACCCAAATTAACTGGATTATGTATTAATTTGGAAATAAAGCATTTTTTCATTCTGCCATAGGCATCAAATTATTTTATGAAAAAATAAGTACAGTTTATGGAATATAGATTTTTTGAGACCTAAACCATTTCTTTTATTCTAAAACCCATTCACTAGAATTCTGAAAGATTCTCACTTACTTCAAGGGAAAGACAGCCCTGATGTCTATCTTGTTACATGAATATAGTCCCAATGCCAATATCCCAGGTTTTCTTTCATCCCAATGTCTTTCCCCCAAGGATAAAGCTGGTAGTTTTATTTCAGTAGAATGAACCTGAAAGCATGGTAGGGTACCTGATGCCTCTCATCATTCTCCTCTTCCAGCCATCAAAGTCCACTTTCTATATAGCGATCCATTTCTTCTTCACTACTGATATTGTTCTTTAACTTCTTAATGTATTTGTTTATTTTTTAACTGAAAATTTATTTTACATATTTATGGGGTAAAGTGTGATGATTCAAAACCTATATACAGGAGTGCTATTTTTATTGTCAACAATAATCCGGATGGTACCAGAGCAAATGAGTCACAATCCTGCTCAGACTTCTGGGGAATATAGACCCCAGCACCTCTGCAGGCTGAATTGTTAGGTCAGTGTCTCCTGAGTTGTAGGGACATAAAGTTCAAATGTTCTTATACCAATTTCATCAGGACAGTTAAGTCTTCACCAGTGAGCAAGGTGCTATAGTCTTATTTTCATGTCAGTACCAATGTATTTATTTAATGTATTTATTTATAAAATACAAGTTGTATTTTACCATGAAGCAATATAATAGTATGTCTGATGCTTTTGAAGTTCTGCTGTTTGTGAACAGAAAGTTTCAGATATCTGTCTCTTATGTGAACACAGGTTGTCAATAGATATACTGCCACTATGTTAGACAGATAACAATTTGACTCAGTTTATTCTTTCTATCTTGTATCACATGATTCTGAACACATTATTATTACAGATATCACAAAATCAACTATTAGATGTGTTTGTAGCTTGATAAACCAGAACAAAAAAATCTAATTAGTTTTGAAAGATTATTAGTGTAAGTAAATGTGCATATTTCTTAAAACTTTCTGGACTCCAGACACAAGCTACAATATTTTCATTGTTCAGTTTTTAAAATTAAATTGAGGAATGAGTGGAGATAAAGAAGTAAATTTAGAGATATATTATTTTCAGTAATACCATTAAATGTAGGTTTTCAGTTCTTGATCCATTACATAATAATTCTGTATTTATTTTTGCTTATGAGGTGCTTGTATTGGAATACAGGAAATGTTTGATTGGTTGACCAGTAAGCTAAAATGATCATCTGCCAGTAACATTATGTATTTTTCACAGTATTTTTAAGTAGTGAGCTTTTGCTGTTGCATATGACATATGGTAAATAAATATTCATAAAATGCATTTTTAAGAATTAATAATGTGTACAATTTTTCTAAACAAAGCAATTTCCGTGAGAAAATTCATAATTTCCAAGCTTGAAATATCTGCATTTCTTGACAGCAAAACAGTTATTATGCTTTACTTTTCTCTCAACTATCATCTTGTTTTCTTTCCTCCCCTCCTGTCACAAAAAACAAAACAAACTCCTGCTTTCCAATCATTGTATAGTCTACGCCATGGAAATTAATCGTAAGTTTACATGCAATTGATGATCTGAATTCATGAAATGTGTTTACTAAACAGCTTTTTTATTACCCGATTACTGATATTCTTATACTGTTTTCAAATACATCTTTAGTTTCCCGGTGTTAATGATTTTTTAAACTGAAAGTAAAAAATAAACAAAGTATAAATTCAACATTGGGATTATCCTGTTTTCCCCCTCTGGGAAACAGATCTCCTATGATAAAGGTGGCATTTCAAATGAGCACAGAAAGAAAAGATTATTTTTCATATGTGGTCCCAGAACAATTGATTTGAGAGGTTAGTGGGTTCCTTACCCCACATTCTAGAATGAAGTTATTTTCAAAGTTAATGTACAAATATAATCAAAAAAGAACCAGAATACAACATAAGTTAACATTAAATACTTAGAAGACATGATAACTTTCTAGTAGATAACTATTTGGATGATATCATAAAGATGGATTTGTCTGTTTAATCATTAAGAACTTTTGTGTAAGAAAAACAATAAAGAAATGGGAAAATGCTTATAAATACGACAAACTAAAATTGACTACCTCTGGGTGCAGATACGAGTTTTCTTACCTTCTTTGTATGTTATTTTTTACTGGAAAATTAACGTACACGAAATAAGAAAAATCATATTAAAAAGGAAAGAGACTATCTAATTGCATGTAATGGATATTTATTCTTTTCTTATTATATGTAAAAATCAAGCACAAAAACACAAACATTTCTTTCAGCTCCTTGTGGTGAAAACCTCTATGACGAGGATGGCAAGAGGCTCCCTCCCTGCATCCCAGGGGCCTGGCTCACACCTGCTCTCATGGCATGCTATCTACTAGTAGCCAACATCCTGCTGGTTAACCTGCTGATCGCTGTTTTCAAGTACGTGTCATGGCTGATGACCATGCCCTTACATTTATTGCCTTTAAAATTTTTGGTTTAATCTCAGAAATCACCCATGTACCAAGTATTTGCAAAGAAGCTCATTAGGGCTTTCATATGAATAGAATGGTTGTAGTCTTTTTGATTCAACTTTAATCAGTCTAATGTATTCATAAATCAAGAGTTGGCACTTGAATACACTTAAATTTAATCTTGATTTGTAATTTAACACTGTAGTATTTTAATCTAATCAAAAATGTTTTCTTAAGCAAAAGTTCCCTGAGAGATTTGGTCAAGTTGTGCTTTTCATTCATGATAAGAGACACAGAAAGCAAAACTAATTTCAGACACTGCTACAATTACTATAACATATATTCTTATTATTTGCAGAATAAATGGTCTAAGAAAAAATGGTTTAAGTTACTGAATCAAGCTTCTTATAAAATTTGCCCACCTGGCATTATATGATGAGTATGTTGACAATGCTTAATAACTGTTGAAAAATTATTTTCACTTCTAAGATGAAAAATATGAGGGAAAAATACTTCATGGAAATTTAAATCTTAAAACTAAACAGAAGAGAACCTGGTCCTAATGCCTAGCTTGAGAAAACTAAGGTCACAAGACAGTAACTGGCTTTTCTAAAGTCCCAGTATTGGAAGATCCTACAATCCTGTGCTTATGGTCTCCCATTGGAAGCTAAAACAAAATAAAGTTTGTACCTATCCTACATCCTAAATAACATGCCTTGAATCAAATAAGTTCAATAGTTGATTCAGTTGCCAACAAATAAAAATCATTTAGTTGTTTGATAAAAAAGTTTATGTTTCTCAAAATTATATTTCTCAAAATTTCCTCGGCATAGACTATGATGTGGTTTATGCAAGAAAGCAGGGGGCAGCAATTTAATACACTTAATTCTTAATTATCTATATGAGTAAAATATCATTAAGTATAAATAATAGATTGATAGATAGACCAAACAAACATTGATAGATAAACCAAAAAATTAGGTAATCAAGGAATCAACTGACACTAAAAGGCCATTTCATATAATTTCAATGTCAGTAACTGATAGCTTTGGGAAATCACAATAAAAAGTAATATGTTACATGTTTTCTTTTAAAAGCAATACCTTCTTTGAAGTAAAGTCAATATCCAACCAAGTGTGGAAGTTCCAGCGATACCAGCTGATTATGACATTTCATGACAGGCCTGTCCTGCCCCCTCCAATGATTATTTTAAGCCATATCTACATAATCATTATGCGTCTCAGTGGTCACTGCAGGAAAAAGAGAGAAGGGGACCAGGAAGAACGGGACCGTGGACTAAGTATGTTCAAGACTTTCCATTTCTACTTTGGGTTTACTTTTTAGAAAACTTTTTCCACTTGACACCAACATAAAAACTCCCACTAAACTATTTACATGTGTGAAAAACACAACAAACCAACTACTGTGCTTTTCAGAATGCTTCTTATTTTCTGTTGATTTTTTTCTATTGTTGTTCATTTATTAGTAATTAGTATTGCTGAAAGTCTTCTCGTGGAGATAAGCTGAGAGTTTTTAAAAATATCTCTTCTATATACATTTATATATGCATTCAATGTTCCTTTCAAAATGTTTGAATTTGTTGCATCTAAAGATGATGAGAAAATAATGCTATACACTTTTTCATAAAAGACATGCAAAAGATTTGCTGAAAAATATTACTTCATTTCACTTTCTTAATAGATGTAATCAGGGCTGTTTGTTTTCTTTCTTTTTCTTTTTTTTACCAAAAAGTTATCATTTTGCTCCAGTAGAAAGACCATTACTACATATGACAGCCCTACCCCTTAGCTAACAATCAATTGGAAGAGTCAAAGAACTACCTACAAGGGAGCTTACTTAATTGCTATGAAATTCGCAGTGATGCAACTAAAATGATTCTTCAGGGATCTGGCTTGGTTTTCACGTGGCCAACACTTCTCCCTTTATGCAGAGCTCTTCCTCAGCGAGGAGGAACTGAAGAGGCTGCACGAGTTCGAGGAGCAATGCGTGCAGGAGCACTTCCAAGAGAAGGAGGACGAGCAACAGTCGTCCAACGACGAGCGCATCCGGGTCACTTGTGAGAGGTGCGAGCAGATGGTTCTAGGCCAAGGGTGTGCAGACTCCCGCCCCTCCTTTGAAGAGGGATGCTAAGGCTTATTTCAACATTGGCTCTGCATTCTCCTGTGGATTCAGTTTTTAAAAGTTTTTAAAAGTTTTCCCCCAAAATAATGTGAAAGTTACCAGGTGGTGACTGTGGTTTGTACAGAGAAGTAAATGATAACATTTATTGCAAACATTCAGGCCCAAAAGGTCTCTTCCCAAGTGTGGGCATTTACCCCATTTAAGTTTAAAAAAACAAACAAACAAGTTTTGCATGATTGGAGTGAACGGTAAGCCAGAAGAAGCCCTCTTTCACCCTGTATTGGTACAGGGTGTTCCTTTTGCCCAGCATAGTCTTCCCCTAGGGCTTGACCTCCTCATCCAGCCCCGCTGCCTGTTGCTATAGTTGAAACACCCTTCCTAGGGTTCAGAGGTCAAGAACCTCACCTCTGTGCTCCCATGAGATTGGGACCTGGGTGGGATGAGGTCTGTTCCCCATGAGGGTGGAGTCCTCTAAATTAGAGTGGGGTCTTCCAAACACCTTTTTTCTTTATAACTTTTTATTTGTTCTTATTACGGTAGAATTCATTTATGCACTTTGATATGTCATACATAAATGGGGTATAATTTCTCATTTTTTGATTGTACATGGTGTAGGGTCACATTGATCATGCAGTCATATACTTACATTTTTATGGGGCAACCACTCAGAAGACACACTAAGTCCAAATTTTAAACAAATCAAAGAATTTTATTGTACCTATATTATCCTGGCTAAGGACGCTTCTGCCATGTCCAAACAGCCTTCTGATAGAAGTGTACTGGGCTGTCTGAGGTTCCAATATTAAGGAATAAATCCACATCCTATGGAATCTGCAAATTGCAAGCAAGCAGGATTCAAGGGCTGAGAAAAGCAGTTAGCAGAGCAGAATCAGACAACCACATCCTGGGTTCAAGCACAGTTGTGGTTGTACATCTTGGATTGGAGTACGTTTGCAGATGTATGAAGCACAGAAAAACAAATTTTTAATACTTTTTAAAAAACAGCTTATATAACAGTCTCACATGAGAACCATAATAGAGTTACTATGGCTATATTTACTATTTTATTAATCTATATTTTTTAATCTATAATCTTTAACTTATTAATTGTATTGGTTAATTCAGATCATAACATACATAAGGTAATAATGTCTGTTTCATTCTACTATCCTTCTTATCTTCCTATCTCATCCTCTCCCTTCACTCCCCTCTACCTAAAGTACCTCTATTTTTCCCTAGGGCCTCCATCCCCTTTTTGTGAATTAGCATCCATATTTCAAAGAAAACATTCAGCCTTTGGTTTTTTGAAATTGGCTAATTTCACTTAGCATAATATTCTCCAACTCCATCCATTCACTAGCAAATACCATAATTTCATTCTTTAAAGCTGAGTAATATTCCATTGAATAAATATGTCACATTTTCTTTATCCATTCATCTACTGAAGGGTACTTGGGTTGGTTCCATAGCTTAGCTATTGTGAATTGAGCTTCTATAAAAATTTATGTGGCCAAGTCACTATAGAAGGTTAATTTTAAGTCCTTTGGGTCTAAACCAAGGAGTGGGATAGCTGGGTCAAATGGTGGTTCCATTCCAAGTTTTCTGAGAAATCTAGATACCACCTTCCATAGTGGTTGCACCAATTTGCAGTTCCACCAGCAATGTATGAGTGTACCTTTTCCCCACATTCTGCCAACATTTATTGTTGCCTATATTCTTAATGATCGCCATTCTGACTGGAGTGAGATGAACTCTTAGTTTTGACTTGCATTTTTCTAATTGCCAGAGATGTTGAATATTTTTTCATATATTTTTGATTGATTGTATCTCTTTTTCTGTGAAGTGTCTATTTAGATCCTTAGCCCATTTGTTGATTGGGTTATTTGGTGGGTTTTTTTTTTTTTGTGTGTGTGTGTGTGTGTGTGTATGTGTGTGTGTTTTGAGTTCTTTTTATAGCCTAGAGATTAATGCTCTATCTGGGGTGGTAAAGATTTTCTCCCAATCTGGAAGCTTTCTCTTCACATTATTGATTGTTTCTTTTGCTGAGAAGAAGCTTTTTAGTTTGAATCCATCCCATTTATTGATTCTTGATTTTAATACTTGTGCTTTAGGGGTCATGTTAAGAAAGTCAGATCCTAGTCCAATGGTGAAGATTTGGGCCTACTTTACTTTTAGTTAGTGCAGGGTCTCTGTTCTAGTGCCTAAGTCTTTGATCCACTTTGAGTTGAGTTTTGTGCAGGGTGAGAGAGAGGATTAATTTCATTTTGTTACATGTGGCTTTCCATTTTTCCCAGCACCATTTGTTGAATAGGCTTTCTTTTCTTCAGTGAATGTTTTTGGTAACTTTGTCCTGTATGAGATAACTGTATGTGTGTGGTTTTATCTCTGTGTCTTCTATTCTGCACCATTAGCCTATGTGTCTGCTTTGGTGCCAATACCATGCTATTTTTGTTACTATAGCTTTGTACTATAGTTCAAGGTCTTGTATTGTGATGCCTCCTTCTTCACTTTTCTTGCTAAGGATTGCTTTGGCTATTCTGGGTCTCTTATTTTTCCAAATGAATTTCATGGTTGTTTTTTCTGGTTCTATGAAGAATATCATTGGGATTTTGATAGGAATTACATTGATTCTGTATCATGCTTTTGGTAGTGTGGCCATTTTGACAATATTAATTCTGCCTATTTAGGAGCATATGAGATCTTTCCATCTTCTAAGGTCTTCTTCAATTTCTTTCTTCAGTGTTCTGTAGTTTTCATTGTAGAGATCTTTCACCTCTTTTATTAGACTATTTCCAAGTACACATCCTCAGGACCCAGCAGAATCATCATAGTCCACACGATAGTGCTTAATCATGCCAAAAGAATAAATTCATGAGTGTGTGAATCCATGAATGAGTAAATGAAAGCTGAAGGTCCTGAAGGGACAGAGTGATATTTTTTGGAGCTTGATGACATTGCCTTACCCTAAATTGGGAAAGAGTAACCAGCAAACTTTAGACAAGAACAATAAATCCTTGCTATGTTTTTTAAAAAAATCATAATCTTTTAGAATATTATAACTTACTAAAAGCAATTTAAGTTTGTTAAATATCTTCATAACTGATAATACATAGTTCTAATGAGTTTAACTCTCAATATGGGTGTAATGAGCATGGAAAAGGAGACATGACTAAGGGGATTCTGGCTCATTCTTGTTTTTTGAGTACTCAAAATTAAAATGCTCTGATACAAATGTTTTTCAAATATGTATATTGAAAAACAAAATCATGGTAGGACTTCAAAAAGACATTTCAGCAAACAAGTACCAATCAAGAGACCCAACATTTACATCAGAATTCACAGACATACCTTGAAGTTTCCCTGGTATGTGCCCAGGCAATTGACTATACCCTAACCCACTGGAAGGGAAAAGTCTCTGACAGCTGACCCCTTTCCTCTCCTAGTCCCAGTCACCTTGTAATCCAACCAAGCCCAACCAGCCAAACTCAAGGGTTACCTACACCAACTTTTGGCCTTAGTAAGGTACATTGTCAATAAAACTTTGAAACACTTATTTGATATTTTAACAATAATTGCTAAACTTTCAATATATAAAAATTATTTCTACATAAAACAAGTTATCCCTTGTAGACAGTCTAAAAATTTCCACCTTTTAGTTAGATATTAACTTGAATTTAGTCATGGACAATCATTTACAATGGAAATTGTGTTTTGTTTTTCTCTACCTCTCCACCTTCTCCCTTCCCGCAGCATTGTTTGGATTTTTACCATTCTTGGAACAAGGCTTCAAGAATGTGGTTATCAGATCACTACCAAATTGCATTTTTCTCCTGGGGCTCTGTGCATACGTAATAGAAATGAAAAAAAAATACTACTTCCTGTTTCCCTTGGCTCAGGTCCCCAAAAGTGATGGGAGCACATTCCTGCCCCTCCATTTCCTTTTATTGACCTTGTCTAAAGCTGACTCACAGGTGAATGCCTGAGACAAAAAGAAGTTTGGGGAGAAGGGAGCTTCCTTCCCTCTAATCAGGCCAGCTGGGGAGCAAGGGATAAGGTGGAAGAATGGAAGGAAAATTAGTTATTTGTACCTAACTTTCAGCACCTGTTTTATTACTTTTAATATCCATCTCTGAGTATTTGGACACTTCTTCTAATTCTTCGATATTCTTGATATATTAATTTGATTTTTATTTTCTGTATCACCATTCACCATTTGATGATTCTCCTGCTCTTCTCTCAGTGGTTTGTGCACCATCCTAGTGCAGAGTCTGGTTAAAAGTACATCATTCCCTTCCCTGTTTCCCTATTTCCTGAGAACCTTTTCAGGAAAAGGTTCCTGAGACAGCAATTCTCAGAACTCATTCATACCATCATGTTCACAAAGATGTTCTTAAGGGTATGTTGAACGATTCCGTGTGGGAACCAAATCTGTAGCTTTCTCCTACTGCTTGGAAATTACAAGTAAAATTCTAACAATTTAACCACATACTCTTATCATAAAATGTCAACATTTTGTAAGACCCAACATTTAGTCCCTTAGCAAGAGATTTGTGAGATGAGTGAGTTAATGTAACATTGAGTTGCAACTCAATAGTTAAGCCAAAGTCGTACCCAGCATGCCCACCTGGATCTGGAGAACTGTGAGCACTTCCTCACAGTTCTCCTTCCAAACTTGGACATTTCCTGTGCTATGGGCTCTGTGAATGGTATCATAGTTCAGCTGCTTTAGCAAGACAGAAAGTGGCAAGATATTGTGGCACCTCCCTCTCCCTCACTGACAATCAAGTTCCCCTTGCAGGTAATGTAGGGTCCACTCACTTCCTGTCTTTGCTGCCAGCACACACTGAGGTCTCCATACCCCTTTCTGCTCTTTGAATCCGTGTTGCATTCTACAGACTCAAATTGGGTCCTGTGCCTCTCATCCACCAGCTCCCTTTAAAGG